CATCCAAACCGGAAAATAGCTGAATCAATTTTAATACAAAACAAAAATCCCACCATGAACATTCAAGTACAGTCAAACAACACTCTACCTTCAAATAGATTACTAAATAAAAACAACAATCATCATAATTATAACAACAACAATTACGACAACAGCAGTAATGATAACAATGTTATCACCAACAACAGTGAGGATGTAAACAATAATCATACTAATAGTGACAACCTTGGCAACAACATCAACAACACCAACAACAATATCAACAATAACAACAACAACAACAGTGCCAACACTGTGGATACCAACGCCACAGCCCACAGCGCAAATATCAGTTGCAATTGGAACATCATCACAAGAAGCAAGAACCATAGCGTTGATAATAATAATAAAAATAATGGGAACATTTTTTATTTTTCACCATAAAAAACATACAATGATAAATATATATATATATAAGTTAATGTTAATTAAAAATGCGCAATGATAAAATTGTATAAAATAATATTAAAGGTTAAGACCATTTTGCTCATTGTGAAGTTAAGTGCAGAACGGTGAAATATATTTAATTAGCGTCATAGCTTGTTCCTGTCACAGTAAATGTCATACAATAATCTTATAACAGTGTTTATCAATTTATCATTAAATGATAGCGGCCATGGAACTTTAAACAGTGACAAATTAAAATTATTGTAAAAACCAATAGGCGTTATTTCGAATGTGTTTATAACTATTGAAAAATGTTTATAGTCTTTTTTTAAAGAACAATGCAAATTATAAGAGTACTTATTTCTTTTGTATTGCCTGGAGGATTCTAAATTGGTTTCATAGCATACAGTTAATTCTAGAATTTCAATTTTGTTATTTTGAAGTATGGCGATATCGGGTCGTAAAGTGTTGAATAATTGAGATATTGGACGAATACCCTCAGACTCTAAATCTGCAAATATGCGGCAATTGGCTGAAGCGGATATTTTCAGTCAATTGATGATCACGGCTAATATCTTGTTGTGCCTTTCGGTATATCTTGCTAGAGCGGATGTAGAACCACAATTGGAAACTACGTGCTTATTTGTCTGTCGAGAATCACAGAGAGGGAATTGAGGGCTTTGCGTTTTACCCCATCTAAACAAATTTGCGTTAGTAGGCAACCGCTGGCAAATTTGTAGATGACTCCGGCAAAATTTTCTGTGGACTTTGACCAACGGGATATGTTGTTGGCTTTGATGAAATTTTTTATATTTAAAATTAGTGAACCTTGACTCTGCAGCGAGAAAACATGATTTAAGCTACATCCAATTCTTTTTTCTTCCAAATGACTAAGCAACGACTTTAATTGGCGGTATTTTAAGAGCGTATTATCTACTTTGATAAAATTGATCGCTGAATCTTTATAGAGACATTGAATCTCTTTGTTGCTATTAGTTTTAAAATAGTTCCAAAGTTTCAGTCTCATTTTTTCTGTCGCATCTTTTAATGAAATGATGCCATGACCTCCCATTGTTGATGCCAGAGAAAGTAGTTAACACATAGCCGCTGATTGGCGTATCTATCCCCTCCCTGACAGCGTTAACAATCAGATTATCTAGGTTCTCTGATATCCATGTCAGCGTAAAGTTGTAGCTGCGGAGTTCAAAGTTCAATTTTCTTAAAATTTGTAGTTTTTGCTGTGGGTCCACTTTCAACTTTGAAGTCGTTTCCAACAGTTGAACAAGTTTAGCTTGTATCAGAGTTTTTGCTTTGAGGTCGTTGCATTCGAAATCATACAGTTTACCAAGGTATGTAAACGCTTGGCCAATCTCTACGTTTTGCCACATCGTCGATAGTCAATCTTAGCAAAAATTGCTCATAAGTACTATCTTTCTTCCTCATTCCAAACGAATAATATTTATTGATTCTCATCTTCATCTCTGATCAATTGCACCGAACAATAATAATAATAACGTTTTTAAATATTGTAAAAATATTATTAATAATATGTAGTTATTTAAATAAATTAATTCGCGCTTCTTCTCGGCTGAGCGTTTATATATATATATATATATATATATATATATATAACTTACTATATAAATAAATAATCATTTATAATATATATATATATATATAAATAATATGCATCAGTATATATACAAATAAATCTTATAGCAAAAAATTTTTATCCGAAACACGCCAACCATTCATCGCCTCAATTAATTTTGAGAATGTATATATACGCAAATAACAGCACAACTCAGAGATTTCTACAATAATCTATTCAATCTCATGTACACATTGTACACTAACACACGCACACAAAGGCACGCATATATATATATATATATATATGATTTAAAAACCATCCCTTCCCTCTCTCTCTCTCTCTCTCTCTCTCTATATATATATATATATATATATATATATATGTGTGTGTGTGTGTGTGTGTGTGTGTGTGTGTGTGTGTGTGTGTACAAACCAAAATAAAATTAACTCAAAATGGCAAATACGACATGAGTAAAACTCAACTGGTAGTTACACATATTCATATTATTGTAGTTCAGCATTGGATTTTTTATTTGCAAGTGCAACTGCAATAGTTTATTTTTCATAAGATTAAAAAATATCGTGAATCAAGAAAATTAATTGATAAGAATGAAATTATCAGTTAAAGAGATACATTCCTACATTCTGGCAATACCTTTTACTTGCATATTTATAACAATTAGAATTGTAACTGAATGTATAACAAGTTCCAATACATTTTTAAAAATTAAAAAAAAACACGTGAACGTGTTTTTTGTCAATATCCTACCGTATTTAACAAACTTGCGAGACAAGTTTGTATATATTGTGCAATGGTTGAAGGCTTCTAATCTCGTGTTACTCTGATTGGATTCGACAGCAAAAAGAATTCCGCCTATCATACGCACGCAGTGTTTAAGATGTGCAGATTCACGCTTAGTATACGCAATGTGAATTTGTTATTGAGACTTCTGAGTAATGTATTAAGAAGTAAATACTATTACCTATTGTGAAAAGCAATTAAGCAAAGTTTTTATTTTATTTAAATAATTATAAATCATTGGTAGGAATGTAACTGTTGAAATAAAAAAAAGTCAAAACAATCGTTATTTTTACTTTCGTTTTTTATGACTGCTAAATCTACCAATTGCTGAAAGTTACAGATAAAAATAAAAACAATTCCTATTATTAAGAATATTCAAAAATAGTTTTGTTAAGTGATCTCCTTTGTCAAATAAAATTTAAAACGATTTAAAAATTTCACATAATTTTTTGCACAAAATAAAATTTTGTGTAAATTTAAAAATGTTTAAACCTATGTTGATTTTTATTAGCAACTATTGTATTCTAAGCGTATTCAACTATTGTATTTCAAATTTTTATTTTTTTTAAATCAATCTTAATGCACCAAAATTTAATTCATAAATATATTATTTAGTATGAATTATTTGATAAAACATTTTTTACACAATTTTTTTTTAATATCCTCAAAACCATTTTTATATATTTTATATGAATTTCTAAACACCAATTTGTGTGTTAATTTGAATTCATAAATTAAAAAAAGTTTATTTTGGAGGTGTAGCCCAAAAATGAGAGACTGTTGCTGCCCCATCTTTCTCAACAGTATACGAAAATTAATTTTAACAATTCATAATCTGCAATAATTTTTAATTTACTAGAAAAATATTGAATGAACTCACAGAAAATGTATGGTTACACCACTCGTGTACACCAGAAAATAAAAAAAATTAAACATCATAAAAAATACTTGTTAGATTAATATTAAAAACCATAACAAATGAATTTTTAAAATCCTTGAAATGTTCGTCAACAGGACGATACAGGGACGGCCATAGGAATCGAAGCGACTCCATAGAGAGGCACGGCCGTCAGCTGTCCTTCCTCATTTTCAGTGGACCGCAGTTCCTTTTGTTGATGTCCTGCATCTACATCAAATTGTTCATGGTAGTAATTAGTATGATTTGCATCAGTTTTTGTGACAGCCGTAAGTTGATTCACTCCAGATTGATCACGCCGTTTGCTGCTGTCGATGTTTACCGTTTTGTCGCAATTATTGCTGACGCTTGCAAGAAACAAATTTCCAACGTCTTTTGCAAAATTGTAATTATTGTTTTTAGAAATCATTTGTACTTTATTTTGTTTAAAATGTGAATTGGGAAGAAAATAACCTTCACTGACGTTAACATTTTGTTTTGTTGAGCCGTATATATTATTAGTAACACATTTAAATTTACTCTCCTGAATAATTTTTTCAAAATCCGCTTGGTCCAATGTTTTTCCAATTTTTTTTTCACAATCATACTGATTAAAAACTGATTTTATTTCAAAAAAGTGTCTTGTTTTTTCATCACAAGCGTTAGTTCCATTTTTATTATTACAACAGTAATTTATATTTTTAATCATGCTGCTCAAATTGTTATTGTCAACATTGTATTTGTTGTTAAGAATATTTGCAGAAGTATCTAAAATTTGTTGATTATTTTTTTCAGCTTTATTATCTTTGTGATTTTCAATCATATTTTCATCACCAAGCTTGTCATTGTCCTTTTTTTCAATGAATTTATTGTTAGAACTCGTGTTGTTGTTGCTGCTGCTGTTGGTGGTAGAGGTGGGATATTGACTTATTGTTACATTACTTAAAAGTGGAAAAGAAAATGTTAACGATTCACATGTACCCGATGAAACAAGCGATTCAATCAATGAAACTGTTGAAGTTTTACTGGAAGTTTCGAACAATTTAATTTTGGAGTCATTGTTTTGTGAAAATTTGGGAGTGTTGTAGTTGTTAGAGCATAGATCTTGAGACCAACAGTTGTTTTCCTCATCACTGGTTTCAACATCGTTTATTGGTGGTCTATTAAAAATTTCTGTTAATTCATAATTTTCATAAGCGGGGTCCGTTAGTCGAGTTATATGAGGAAATTGAAATGTTTCTTTTAAAGGGTTTGTGATGCCAAAACTAGAACTTTGTAAAAAAGAATTAGGAAAATACTCGTTTGCATTATTTTGTGAAAAATAATTGAAATTGTTGTCAGAGAAACTACTTTTTGTTTCGCTTGGTAATAATGTCGGTAATGTAGAATGCGATGTTAATCTTTTAGAAAAAGCCGGTTTATTTATAAATTTATCAAAAGGTGAAATGTTACAAAAAGGTGGTGTAGAGGAAGGCTGGCATGAGTAAGGCAGTTGGTGATATGGTGAATATTGTTGAAAACTGTTTGTATTATTATAAAGCTCAAAATTTTTATTAGAAATTTGTAAAGAAAAAGGTGAATGTCTAAATTTTTCTAGCTTATAAATTTCTCTATTATCTGAAACATTAAAATGTTGAAAGCTTTCATTCGAATTTTGTCTGTACGCGACAGTATCGTTAGTAATAGAATTGTTACCAACATTATTGCAGTAGAGTGGATGTAAAACGTTCATATTTGACTCATAAGCGTGTTTGAAAGCAGTATTTTCGGCTCTTAATGAAGGCGAAATTAAAAATGCCTTTGATGTGGATGGTACATCGTCTTTCATTTCTGAAAAAATTTAAAACCTAAAGTCACAACAACAAAAATTTAGTTAAACGCAGTTATATTGAAACAAAATTAAATTGAAATAAGTTATTTATATACCATCACTATCAAAATGAAGATGTTTATTACTGCTGAATGTTGATGTTGTCGTCATGGTCTTTAGTATCTTTGGCCTCCTCTTTCTGGTCTGTATTGCATCTTTACGCATTGTCATAGGTCGATTTATCTAATAATATTAATAAAATTAAATAAATATATATATATATAGAATTAAGACTGTCAGAAAAATTATTGATGAAAATCACAGCATTTAAGAAACTTGAAAATGATTTACGATCAACCGTTTGAAAAATCGAAAAGTTAAATTGGAAGTTAACAAATGCCGAACATATATATATTTAGATTTTCGTCAATATATATATATATATATATATATATATATATATATATATATAATATATATATATATATTATATAATAATATAATATAGAGTATTGCATGAATTTTACTAAATTGTTGGCTTAATCAATAATATATATATATATAATATATATATATTTATATAATAATATAATATAGAGTATTGCATGAATTTTACTAAATTGTTGGCTTAATCATTTTAAAGTTTGTCTTTTCAAATTTTCCTACTAGAATTTTCTGAAATGTTCAATTTATTGAAAATAAAATTATTATTCAAATTTGCCATGCAAGTTTATTAATAGTAAAACTGTATTTATCCAAATATATCTTGCTCATAGGCCTTATTTCGATTTTACACAAATTATCTTCCGTGCAGTTTTAGTTTATATAGCTAAAAAATTTTATTTTTAATAAACTTGCTGATGAACTTTGATAATAATTTTATTTTCAATAAATTTAACAATTTCCAAAAAATCTAGTTTGGCAGGCTAAAATTTGATCAAATCTCAAAAAGTACTACTTACTCCGTGCAGCTTGTGATAAAGACCACAAGCATTGCAAACTGTTTCCCCTAGCATGTTTCTCCGCCATAAAGTGCTGGCTGCACTCCCGCAATTGCTACACACACTTCCTTTTTTGCGGTTGGAACCACTGTTCTGTAAAAATAACATTATTTGGTTTGATTAAAGTAAATTTTTTTAAATGTTCAGCGTTCAGTTTATATAAATCCTATTATTGCTGGTAGCAATTCATTTTATGAAAAAATTTGTTGTACATTTTTTGCTTAAGTATAATTTTTGTAAAAAAGATTCTTGCTAAAGTAAACAAAAATATTTTATTATCGACAAACCTTTAAATTTTTCTTATTTGAAGATGTCGTTAATTTGTCCAAAGTTGATGAAGTTGCTTTGTTGATCACTTTTTGTTTGGATGCATGCTTTAAAACTCCCGAAGAAGTTGAATATAACTTTCGTTTGCTGCTACTACTGATTTCATTTGCACTGCTCTTTTTATTAATGTTGTTAATGTTATTTAGGCCAGTAGTCCCTTTACCAACTTTGTCATGCTGTCTAATGTTACATGTTTGACAGATGGGATATTCCGGCGATTTTAACGCAAAATCAACGTCATTATTTGATGATATTTTGTTAGTGTCATTGTTAATTTTATTGTTTGTACGGCTGTTTTTGTTATCTAGCATTTGAGCAGCTTTTGAAACATTTTCGTTGCTTTTGCTGTTTATAAATGATCTGCCACATTGAACGCACTGTTGACAGGAACGTGCTATGGAGGATGTCACTAAAGGCGATGATAAGGTGGATGACGTTGATGAATAAGTATGCGATATTAAGAACGACAACGGAATTGATAAAGATGATGAAGACAATGGCGATAAAAATGAGTTAGGTACTACCGAAGTAACTTTTTTGGGTAATGTTGATTTTGATGATAATAACAATAATGAGGACGATGATGGTGGTGATGAAGTTGTCGTTATTGACGATGACGATGGTGGGGATGATGGTAGCGCTGGTGGTGAAAATGGTGATAAAGAAGAGTGCAATAAATTTGTAAATGGTTTTAACTTTTGTGCTTCTGAAATTTGTTTCAAAAATTTATTGTTGGAATTATTCACAATGACAGCAGATGACACCGATGATGATGAAGTTAGTTTTGCCGACATTGGAGATGATGGCGTTGTCACTGTTGACGTAGACGATAATATAGACAATAATGTTGTTGATGGCAAAGATGGTGATTGCGATTTTAATGTTGGGAATGGTAACAACGATGGCGCCTGAAACGAGGTGCGAATATTATTGAATGTTGGTATGTCATGATTAAATGAAACATAAGCATTGACATCTTCTTTAAATGTGCTGTCATTTTTGTTGAAATTAGGACAATTATTGCTGCAGCAGATGTCGTTACAGATGTTGACTCCATTTTCATAAAATGGCTCTTGTATATCTGAGCAATTTTTTAATTCAATTAAAATGTTTAAAATTAATGACAAATAATTTAAATTTTTCAGCAAGTGAAATTAGTAAAACAATTTAACAAAATCAACTGTTCACGTTGTCATTGAGTTTTAATGACATTTTGCAAACAAAGAACATTCACTGTTAATTCCATAACTTTTAATAAATTGTGACGGGTCATTACCAGCGATGGATGGCCTACTCTACCATTTTTTGTTCTTTAAAGAGAAACAGAATATGTTACAGCATGCAAAATGACAATGGAAATAAAATAGAAAAAATAAAAAATTATGTGAAACAATAAAAATGAGTTACAAAAATAAAATAAAATAGTAAATTATTGAGTTACTAATTATCAATCTTTATATATGAAGAACATCTAAAATGAAAAACGCTTAAAATTCAAGAATTTTATGTTTGTTTCATTTACATCATTGTTATAATACGTAATGGAAAATTTTAAAATAATTTTTTTTTTTGTTTTAATGATGATAATGATGACACTCAATTAGTAATTTATAGTAAATGGCACAGCTTCATTGGCTGAGTGTTGATACTCAATCAATCAATCAATCAATCAATCAATCAATCAATCAATCAATCAATCAATCAATCAATCAATCAATCAATCAATCAATCAATCAATCAATCAATCAATCAATCAATCAATCAATCAATCAATCAATCAATCAATCAATCAATCAATCAATCAATCAATCAATCAATCAATCAATCAATCAATCAATCAATCAATCAATCAATCAATCAATCAATCTATCTATCGATCGATCGATCGATCAGTCAATCAATCCATCAATTAGCTAGTAAAGCACCATTTCGCGATTTTCAACGGCGCTCTTCAATGAATTTTGAAAACAGATGGGTTTTGAGATACGAGTTAAGAAGAAGTGAGAACAAAAAGACGATCGTTTAGGTTTAATTAATTTATCTGTGAAGTACTTAAAAAATAATTTAGATTGAGACTGGTACGCTAACGTGTACATTTTCAAAATTATTCTATATTTTATAAGTAGCCAGTGCAAGAGAACAAGGTGTGGAGATACACGAGAAAAGAAAGTGGCACGAGCAACTGGACGAGCAGCAGAGTTAAAAGTTTTACTTAAAGGATAGAGTGTAGAATTAGGAAAACCATAGTAGAACGAGTTAAAATAATTAATTCTAGATAAAACTAATGAGGAAACAAAAATGAGAAATGTTGAATCGTCAAGAAAAGGCAAAGGTTTTATTTTATTGATTTTATTGATAGTAAGAACTTTTAGCAACGCTATTAACCTGAGAGAAAAAGACTAGAATCAATGCTAGAATCAAAGATAAAGCCAAGACTACAAAATTTTGAAAAACATTAAACGTTTTATAATCAAGTAAGAAAATAGAAGGAATAGTAATAGAGTGTTTAGATATGTCAAAACATATTAATTCAAACTCAGAATAGTTTAAGATGTATAGTGTATCACCAAGCGATAATAGAAGAGAGACATAGAGATAAATTATGAAAAACACTGTTGAGATTAGAAAAAGGAATAGAATATGTATTATTTTGAAATAGATTGCTAATGTTGTATTATTTAATTTTTTACAGAGTTTTCAAGATTTCTTATTTTCCTAGTCATGTTTATCCTTTTGTTCTAACGACGTTTTGACAATGCCGTGCACTTTCATTTGAGGTTGTGGAGCAAAATTCAATTTACATATTTTAAACTGATTACATTTTGTACGGATTTGTTCAACTGAATTTCATCTCGTACGCCATTATCATAACTTAACAAATTTTTTAAATATACAAAATGATCAAATTTCATACTATACAAGGATTTAAAGAGTTTGAAAAATTAAATTCTTTTTGGCATGTAACCTTGTCAATTTTCTTTTTGAAAAAAAGCAAATAAAACTTTTGCAGAACATGATTATTAATAATTTCAAGAGACATATGTGTTATATTTTAACATGCAGCAGATCATGTCATCATTCTAATTTTCCGTCCAACCTGATATGTCAAAAACGACACATCACGGGTGCCTGCTATTTCCAATTCAAACTTTGAAAACAGTCAAAGATTTCACAGTTATTAATAATTTTCAAAAATACATAGCACAATAATATGATGAAATAAAAGCAAAATTTTTAGACTTTGTCTATAATGTTAACGTAAATTTTGTTTATAAATTAAGTCCTTTTCGTTTAGCTAAGTTTAACAAGAAACCTTTTTATTTAAGACAATATTTTTTGCAGCTGGACAACACTTTTTTTTGATGAATCGAAATAAGGCATCATCAAAAAATCTACAATGTATGCTTATAACGAAATTTAAAAAAAAAACAACTTCAGAAAGAATATTCACACATAAAAAAAAATCTAATTTACTTTTTGATTGTTTCATATGATTTTTTTCAGTTAACCCTCCATGTCTTTAAAAATTGTATTTCCAAAAATAATTGTAGAAAAACAAAAAAATTAAACGATATAAAACATTATCACTAACTTAGGCGCAATCATGAAATCAACTAAAATAAAGGATGGAAAAGATCGATAAAACATTTCAAAGGTCGAAGATCATAACACATCGAAGAGAAGTTTGCTGTTGAATAAAACTTATGTGGTAATAATCAAAGTGTCATAATTCGAATAAAATAATTGTTGTAGATAAACTAAAAACTTCACATCAGTGTAGTTTTTATTACAAAATGAAATTTTGGAACTTATTTGTGTGTGAACATAACTTAGGAACTTTGGAAACAAGAAAATAAAGAGAAACCACATTTAATATTTGGGCGGCGTGATGGCTTAAAGGTTAAAGGCGCCTGGTCTTGCTATTGCAATGACTGGGTTCAAATGCAAAGAGATCCCCGCCTATCATATGCAATGTGTATGATGCGTGGTTTCCACGCGTATTCATATACGCTGTGTGTGTTTGTCGTCGAAACCTCTGAAGCAAACGCAAAAGAGAGAGATTAACCTTTAACCTTTTAACCTTTAATATGTTATAACATTTCCTCGGTTTTCAGGATGGCTTATTAAGCCGTTTTTTAAACTATAAAAAGATATAAAATATTGTTGGAGAATGATTATTGTCGACCAAAACTTTTCAAATGCTCACAACATCGATGTCCAATGTTCAAATTTATTAATTCTGTTAAATCAGGAGAATTTTCATTTTATTTTATCAATTTTTTGCTTTTAATAATATTTGTTAGGTGTGTTTAATTGATTGCAAACCAATTTTAAAACATTTTATTATTGAAACATCAAAAGCAAATCTCAAACTCAAACTTTTGATTATACCGATTCACGGAAACGTTTAATAATAAATCACTTGTCAATTTTAAAACCAGAAAAGTTTGTTTCGGTAGAAAAATTGTGTATATACTGAAAATAAAAATGACTTTCCAGGACCTTTGATCGAATGCAGCTTTCTTTATGCTCGTGCATCATTTTAACACCCCTTGCGCACACTGAGGCATGCATGTTTGTTGTGCATTAACTGCCAACCATTAATAATAATCTATGATTAAAAAACATTATGAACAACAATAGCATAAAGCAAAAATAGCTCAAATTAAAACTAGCCATGATTTTTAAAATATTTTATTAAATATAACAAAATATTGTGAGTGGCACTCGTTCAGTAAGTTTTGTGTTGC